ACCCAAATTCAAAATCCAAATGCCAAAATCCCAAATGCCAAAATCCCAAATCCCAAATTATGATTAGTATTTTTTGCTGAAATCCCAAATGATTTGGGATTTGGGCAACACGTATATTCTCTAGTTTATTTCATTGACTAATTTATCTTGTTTCAATAATGTCATAGTAAAATATAGTTGATAATGGTATAAGTCTAGTTCCAAGTAATATGCTCTATCAGATACAGTAGCTACATAAATATTTAAGTTTCTAAATGTTAGAATATATCCTTAAAATACAGTATATAATATATAAATAAAAAAAACTTATGGAATATTTCAAAAATAGTTATTAACCTGTTCTAAACCTGTCAAATTACATGTGCCATTATTAAAATATTCTATTATATTTCTATGGTTATGAAGTATCACTTCATTTTTTCTTGTATTTAACAAATTATCCTTTTGTACTAGACAAAAATGACATGGATAATTTGATCTAACTGATTTATAAGTTAATGAAAAAGTACAAGCTTCTGGCCAATCACAGATTATAGTGATTATTTTTGAATAAAACCAAATAAAATTATTGTTAACTTTAAATTCAATAAATATCATTTCCAAATAATGGATTCAATAGAAATTTAACAGAATTATGAAAAGTTTCATGAGCCAATTTTTTAAATTCAGGAGATTTCACAGATAAAATTAGTAGATGTCAACAAATGTTTTGCATCTTCCTTATTCCTTCTCCATGTGGGAATGTTTTCAAGAGGTACATATATGGGATGTAATGAATTCTTTTGAATAGAGAATGATTGACAAGTGGTGACCTGGGTATCCAAAGGACATCTAAGTTGAGCAGTTAAAATCTTGGTATATATCAACTTTTGATTTAGTTATAATTTCAGTACGTGATTTCACTAGTACATTAATCTATGATTTTTGTGTTACGCAATTAGAGTTTCAATTTTCGCGTTTATTGCCCATAATTTAGACTTTAACCCACAATTTTAGACTTTAACCCACGATTTAGACTTTAATCCACTTTAACCCACAAGCAGACTTTAGTATTCGTTAGGAACTAATACGAAATTGGTGATAGACGAAAATTTTTAGCCATTTCAAGTTTAAACATGTCTTCATTATTTGAAAGCGAGGTTCCTTTCGAATTACTTTTAGACGTTAAAGAATCACCAAAAGCAGTAAAGGCTAGATATTTAGATTATCGTGAGAGCGTTCAATCATTAGAAAATATTACGAATGTAAGGGGGTGTTTTCGCGTCGAGAACTAATTTTGGCTTCATACGTGACAGGAATTATTTAATGTGATTTTTTCCTTTGTTATACTTTCTTCTCTTTTTATATATTATATATAATAGAATTTCAGTTTCAAAATTAATGAATCCGTTGTTGATGATTTATGTTTATTTGTGGAAAACGAAAATAGAAATAATAGGAATTGTGGGAATCATCAGTAAAGTATTATTAACTTTAAGATCTATCGAGATTTAAAAAAATTGATAATAAATTTTTGAATTATTCGATTTTTTTTTTTTTTAGGATTACTTCATGTATTCCTCCCGGACTTCCAACAGCATTTGTATTTTCAGGAAAATATCTGAAACATATATTATATATATATTGAAACACATATTGGATCACTGAACTGCTAAGCACACACACACACACAATGAGACCTTATATATTTTTAATTAATTAATTATAGGCTTTGATACTAGCGAAAATGAAAAGTTTTTTCAAGGGGTCGCAAATAAACTTGAACAAGTTCAACAAAATCGTGTCGTTTTACTTGATTCCAATATTTGTTCTGACTTGGATAAAATGATGAAAAATACTGTTGGACAATTTTTGGGTAAACCGTTGTCAGGTGATGAAGAAGATAATGAAGGAGGAGAAGAAGATGATGAAGATGAAGATGAAGATGAAGATGAGATAGAAGGAGAAGACAATGATGATGATGATAATGATGAAAACGATGAAAGCGATGAAAATGATGAAAATGATGAAAACTTAGCGCATCATAACATAAATCGAAAAACCAATAAACAAGGTCAACAAGATAATATGGAAATAGATGAGGTATACTACTTAATTGTATCATTATTATGATTTGGTTTGAATTTTTGAATAAATAAATAAATAAATTATATTTTTAGGATGATAATAATTTACTTACAATTTCAATAGATGATGTTGTGAGTAAATTCCTGGTTCAATATTACAAAAAAAATAAAGAAATAAAATGGAATTTTAATAGTGTATTCATTAATTAATTGATTTATTAAATGAGTAGAATATCTTTATATCTTTTTATTCCAGGTTGATCTTGATTCGGTTATACAATGGTGTGAATCATATATTCTAACGAATTCTGGAGGTATTTTTTTTTTTTTAAAAAAAAAAACAGCGATATTTTTAAAAATAAAATCGAATAATTATAATAATTAAAGTTGCTTATAATTATTAGATTCTAGCTCAATGTTAAATTTTATTATTATAATTCGAGATTTTGAATGTTTTGTGCCATCAGTTTTGGAAGGGTTTATACACATTTGCAGGTAGAAAATTTTTAAGATTCGATAAAAATATTAACGTTAAGAATACTGAGATTGTTAATAATAATAATATTATATATATATTAATAGTGAATATCAGAATAGGATACCTATAATATTTATTTTAGGTATTTCTACTGGTATCCAAGGAATTGATGCGATTCATAATAATTATTCTTATTCAATAGAGAGATTATTGAGACCTACAACATTTTATTTAAAGTCGCAAAAAAGTCGATTTGATATTTTATTATCACAAGTTAGAATTTATTCATTCATTACTCTTTTGTTATTATGATTCTTTTTATATCGGTATTAATCTTTAAATTTAATCTTTGAATTAAATCTTTTTGAATTTATTAAAGTGTATGATAGAAAATATTCAAAGCGTTAAATTTGGAGAAAAGGCGTTTGAATTTCTTCAAGATTCATTCATTGGAACAAAATTTTCATTGATATCATTCGTTTCAAGATACAAGGTTTGTAAATTTACATGTTATTTAATTTATTCAATTTATTTAATTTATTAAATAATAATCTTTAAAAATGTAGTATGCGATATATCAACATTTTAGTAAGAATCCTTTGAGCATTTTGTCTATAATCGAACCAGAGAAAGTAAATTCGAGATTTTCTTTTATAAACAAAAATCATATGGAAATGATTCGTATGCAATCATCATTCAGAAAGTGTGTAAATTTCCTCTATTGTAATAATCGCATTAATAATCATGATAGTGATGTGATGATAATAGTGAAAATAATAATATTAATTTTGAATTAATTTTATTCTTTTAGATATGTTGAATCAATAATCGATCGACCAGAAGAAGCACTTCAATTATTGAATAATGATAATTATCTTAAAAATATGTTGCCAAAATTTTTACAGAATATGAAATTATATCACCAAAAATTTGGGGCAGCATTTGAATTAGTGAATTATTTACAAAAATTTTTAAGTCTTGATTCAGGACTTTTGAAAGCGAGACATGAATTATATTCTCTCGCCTTAAAAGAACCTGGTTTAGGAGAAAATTTTTATATACAAAAATTTGTGGGTGTTTTGATGTAAGGGTTTATTATTATTATTTTTTTTTAAAGTTTTAATTTCAAGTTTATTTAATTTTACTTATTTTGAATTTACTTAGGAACTTGGAAATAAAAGAACTTGGTGAATTGTTTCAAACGATGATCGAATATTTTAAAGGAGTTTCTAAGCACTTGGGAATTATGTCTCAAGAATGTAAAGAAATTGAGGAATTTCTTGATCAATTACGGAAGGAATCAAATAGTATTCAAAATTCCAAAAATTCCCAAAAATTGAAATTAGATTTAAGAAATTATTTGTTAAATTTTTTCGAGTGAGTTTTTAAAAACTAAATTTATATTATTAAATTTATGTTTATTATTAAATTTACGTTATTTCGTTGCGTGTAGAGAAAATCTTCGACACTATTCTACCAATGCCCTTTATGAAATATTTTACTATCAGGAAAATCCCGAATCGGTAAATTTTATTTCTAAAGCTCACCAGTAATGATTGTCACCAGGCAAAATTACCTAACCCTGATTTTGCCTACGTAAATTTAATTTTGCCCAGTGGTGACAATCACCACTGGTGTTAGCAATTTTCTTATTCTATACATAAATTCATTAATTTATAAATTAATATAAATATAATTAAATATAATTGAATTATATATAATTTTAGGTATTTACACCAAGTCTTCGTGCAGCGGTACACACAGCTCTTGGGCTTCCTACTGAATATATTCATTGTAGTTGTTGTAATTTGGATGAAGAGGAAGATGATGATGTTGATAAAGATGAAAATAATGATAAATTGGATCCCAGAGATCAAATTATATCAACTCATCCAGATACTTGTATATTATATAAATTACATTTACAATGTGGTAAATTAATTAATATTAATGATTGGTTTGGATCTTTTGAAACTGTGGTTTCTAAAGAAAATATGGAAAATGGGAAAATTGACGAAATGGAACTTCGGTAGGTTCTTTCACCATTAATTAATTAATTAATTAATTAATTAAATTATTGTTTACTTATTTAAATTATTATTTTAAATTTATTAGAGCAAGATTTATTAAGAGTTATGAAGAACTTAAGATGCTTGGAATAATTAGTTCCCCAATCAAGAAAAAAGATCATGTCAAAAGAACAACTTGGAGATTTTCTTAATCTTTTGTAAATTGATATTTTTTTTTTAATATATGTGAATTGAAATATTCTAAGAATTATTAAAAACAATTATGATAATAATTATAATGTGAATGTGAGTGAGAGAATAAATTTGAGACTTTATGCTCGATGTCAGAATTTAATTAATGACCATATTAAGAAATTCATAACATTCCTAATATAATTTGATCATAATATAAATATTTCTCTTACAACTAATAAAATACAAAATTACAGATATCATGTGTTATTTATACTGGGTGAGAACGTCTTGGTTTTATTAAAGGATGAAGTTGTGCTAAATATGTAATAGCCCACCTTTTTTAATAATAAAATATTAAAAAATAAACAAATTATTAAGTTGTTTATAAGATAAACGAAAATATTTTCTATAAAATTAAACTCACATCAAGTAACAACAGATAATGGACAAAATAAGAGAAGTTCGTATCGTTCTATATACATATAAAATATAAAATATTAACGTATTGATTGATTTATTACAATCCAAAGAAATCTTTTTCTTACGTTTGATTTGGTCCTTTACGAACAGAAAAGTAAGAAGCTAAAACGAGTGCTCCACACGAAAGTCCTACCCATATGATGTTAAATCCACTCATTTTTGAAACTTGAAAAAAAGTGAAAGTTATATTCAACAAATCATTTTAATAATTGTGAAATAAAAATGATCGACATACACATTAACACTTGAACACAAAAAATCTTTTAATATATATTTTCAATTATATGTTCAATTTTTGTTTATTACAATATTTACAAGATATAAATAAAAAATATATATTATATATATTTAATGCTATATAATTTTTAGGTGAATTCATCTTTTGTTTAGCGATAGATGGAAATCTCCTTTTCTTCTTGAAATCGATTTTTTACCAATTTTACTATTTCTGATGAATAATAATTTTCAGGATCCTCTGTAAGTTTCTCATGAATTTCTGCTTCGGCTTTTGTCATAACAACACAGTTTTGATTACTCAATGGAAGATCTTTTTTCCATCGAATAAGAGTTGGTTTTTCACTTGAACCTGAAATTCCACTTTTACTACGCCAGATTTCATCAAATATGTATCCAACTTCGCGTGCATCTAATGGTATAGATCTAAAATATAATAAATATAATAAATAAATATACTAAATATCTAATTTTTTTTTAAAAAAAAATTACTAAATGAAAATAAAATAAAATAAACATTTACATACGTCGTATTATAAATTCTTCTCTCTCTATTCAATAAGTCACGATGCATTCTAACATACAAAGGCTCTCGATTCTTATTGGCCAATGGTTCAATGTGATATCCAGCAATAGAAGTTATGATATAAGTAGCAATAGACATTCCAAAAATTGCAGGAATAGCACCTAAATCAAGAATAATTGTAATAACCTTTCTTTTTTATATATATATATATATATGTAGAAAGTTAATAAATAGAAGATTATAATATAAACCTAAGACTGGAAGAATCCTGGATCTAAAATCAGGCAATATCGCATAATCAGATGCATTCTGGGCTTGACTTTCTTCTATAAAATGAAGAAATGTTGATATGTAAAAGATATAAGAATAAAATAAAAAAATATGAAAATCCAATCGAATTAAAATTGAAAGAAAGAAAGAAGTGATCAAGATTCACTAACCTAATGGTAACAATTTCACATTTGGTTTTTCAGTGGAATATACTACAGTGATTCCTGAGTCTACATCTAATTTCTTAAGCCGACGTCTGACAACTCTAGCAAGAGGATCCTCTTTTTTTTTTTTGTAACAAAATTTTTATCATATAAAATATTTGTTTTTGTATGATAAAAACGATAAAATATATAATGAAAGAGAGATAGAAATATTCATACCGAAAGTTAGGCTAATATCGCTAACTTGAACGCGTGATGGATCAGCTTTAGCACCTGCCCCCATTGAACTTATGATCTATATAAAATAAAATAAAATTGAATAACGATTTCATATTAAATTTTTTTTTTTTTTTAAAAAAAAAAAAAAAAAAAAAGAAAAAGAAAAAAAAGCTTACCGGAAGCTTATTATCACAACAGTATTTGAGAAGATCAATTTTTGTATCAATATTGTCAATGGCATCAATAATAAAATCCGGATTTCCTATAACGATTTTTTTTTTTTTAAAATAAAAATAATTTTTAATACAGAATGTTAAAAATGATTTGTATGTATGAATTAATAATTTGCTACCTTTTAAGAGACGAGGAGCTATTTCTTTGGTAAAAAGTTCAATTACAGGTTCAATTGTTGTCCAAGGGGCAAACTTTTTAAAATTCTCTTGTAAAGCGATAACTTTAGGTCTTCCAATATCTGCATGTGTTGCAACCGCGTGTCGATTCAAACTACTTAAAGTCACTTGATCAAAATCTATTATTCGAACATGTTGAACACCTGAACGAATAAGCATTAGAGCAGCCCAAGAGCCTACTCCACCAGCTCCTACAATAATTACGAAAGATTTTCGTAATCTATTAACTCCCTCTTTACCAAGAAACGCTATATTTCTAGCCAGTTGTTCGTTAATAAGAGATTCATCAAACGTATCAACATTGTTTTCGCCATTTGATACTTGCTCAATATTACGATTTTTTGGTTTATTAAAAGGTTTTGAGGCAATATCTCTCTTAAGTGCTTTTGTACGCGCTTGTCTTTGAAACGACTGGTATGAGAAAATAGTAAATCCTGTAGCAATCGTTGCACCAAAAGCAGTTAAGGCAAATTGAACTCTAATATTTGATAAGAATGAATAAATAAAATTCGTGAACGAATTCATATTAAATTGTTTAAAAAAATTTTGTCAGAAACTTTAAATGTTATTTGATCTGTACTACTTTAAAAGTCTATGGAGGTGACATATAACAACTACATATATTTTTTTATTATAAATGAAATGAATCTTTATAAGTTTTCTTTCCAGTTCTTAAATCATAATAATATCCTGGACCAGCATCAGGAAACGATAAATATATCTCATCATTTTCAGGAAAATAAAATTTAAAGGATCATCGGTAAATTCTCTGTCTGGCCTAATAACATGATTTGTTTTTCATCTGGAGAAGCGGAGGGTTTGAGTCTTTGACTTATCATAGAAATTTTGGAAGCTTGATTAGCGAATTCTTAATTTTTTGTATTCTTTCGGGGATATCTATTTCATCATACCATACTTCAAGTAAGAAAATTCCATTATTTAGTCATGCATCTTTTTAGACGATCACGATTAACAATATCTTCGAGTTTTTTAGTATCCTTTTATCAACTAGTGTTATAAAGTCGATGTTAAGCCCCTTGCACTTCTAATGCAATTCGATAGTGTGGAAAGAAAGTATCAAGTTCTAACCCTTATAAAAGATGACGATATTTAACCAAAGGTTCTTCTCCTAGCAACACTCGAGCTATTAGGATATATTTCTTTTGGAATTTACGATTTTTCTTAGATTCAAGTTCTTTTTTTTTAAGATAATCTATATCTTATTTTAGCTTCTCAATCTCGTTTTTAAGACTGATATTATCATCCACGAGTCTAGAATTAAATTCTTCCAGTGTGTTAATTTTAGATTGAGTATTTTCCATTGTATTATACAAAGATATGGATATATTTAAAAAGTAAAGTTTATTAGCATAGATAAAGACTATAGCCAGAGTTACGTAAAAAATATTTTCGATCACATGTAACATCGATATCTATATATTTATTGATACAGTAAAATAAAAAAAATTCTCGATCACAGTATTGGTATACATATATGGAAAATTTTAATCAAAAAGTAAATGTGATGAAATTCTTTATTAGGATAGAAAGCTTTGATATATAATATGTAATTTAATTTCGAAAAAATTACTACAGTGAAAGATTATTCAAAAAATTTTAACTATCAATTTCGGAAGTTCATCACAAGAAATTGAAAGAATCTCTTTATAAACAAACTAGTTCAATATATGTTATAATACTGTCAAATTATTGATTTTTCAAGTGCCCTCAGAATAGTTTTTGCCTTTTTCTTTATTTTTTCATAGTCAAGTTCATAATTGTCTTCTGGTTCTATTTCATCTCTCCCTTCGAATGACAACGGAATGTAACTTTCAGCCAGTTCAAAAAAGTCCGCAATTTGGTTATATACTTCATCACTATAAATGTTCTCATCATCCTTGCAAATTTGTAAAAATAGATTAATTAAGTCATCCCTTTCAACTTCCGAGTTGGCAATTCCATCGAGGATGTCTTCATATACTGTAAATACAACTGCACGTAATTTGAATAGTGGTGGTGTTACACATCTGTATTGAGTTCCCATCCAGATAATCTTTGTCTCCTTCCCAGTAAATTATAACACATTTATGAGATGCAAAATCAACTATGAATATTGATCCTTATATCTTCCACTTAAACATTATTTATGTTTCTATAAATAAACTCTTGAAGGGTTCTCCGAAGTTTCTCCTCATTTTGATTATTCCAATTGTCATTTTCGGTAAATTCCCAAACTTCTTTGTGTCTATCAAATATATGTTGCAATCTTCTACATAGATAATTAACCCGATTTATATCAAAGTATATAAACACATTATTGTATACGTTGGCATATGAAGTTTTATACTTTCTGTAAACTTCATAAGTGTTTAGCCTGATCTGATTTCTTCTGGAAACAGTTCCAATCCAATGACTCCCAGAAGATACATATCGACCATCAGGAAGAGTTAAGAAATTGCTTAGCATAGTTTAATTATTGTTTAAAAATAATGTCTATTAAATGGAGCATAATGTACTAGTACCAACCTGGTGCAATTTATTTATTATAACCTGGGTTACTATATAATTTTGCTTCGTGGAGTAATAATTATAATTAGTCCTGACAAAATATATAAAATCGGAAATAATTGTCGATGGTCGTTGCATATAAAATTTTTTATTCTAATAAGTAAACGACATTCACTTATTAAAATAAAAAGGTATAATTATTACTCCATGGAACAACCCGGAGAAACCCGGAGTAACCCGTGGAGTACCAACCCGATACATTTAAGTTAGGTTGACCCTATAACATGAACCCAACTTACTATAAGGTAATCAGGATTATAAAAATGGCCCCTACAAATATTTATATAATTCATGTGTTATAATTATGAATAATTTAGGAGAAGGGGGATTTAGAAGACATAACCTTAACTTTGGCCAATGTAATATCACGTTTAGACTTGCTGGTGCTGAAAATTTTATTATTAATATTACAAATGTCTTTGATTATACATTAACTACTCAATAAATTATTATTATTTATGGTAAAAAAAATACATTAAATTGTAGAGCTAATTTAGAGTTATCAAATAATGTATTTATTTTTTTAATTCTATAAAGTCTTTATAATTTAAAAAATTGAATGGTCTTGAACTTTCTGCACTATATTGGTAAAATATATATATATAATCAATATTATTAATATCTGCATGTCAAATAAAAATTTATATTATACATGTATTTGGACTATAAATGTTTTCAAAATTGATTTCTGATTTTTGAGTATTTCATCTTTTAAGATTTTTGAGATATTTATTCTATATATGAAAATAAAAAAAATATCCAGTTTAATGTATTTTCAATCAAAGAATTTATCTAGGTGGTCAAAAAATTTTGAAATTTAAATAAATTAACACTAGTTAAATACAAAAGAATCATTGTACTAAATGGTAATTCTTATATTAAAAATCAGAATTTCTATATTATAAATCAACAAAAAATTAGTAAAAATTAACTGTCCTATTGTATACTATATTATAAATCAATTAAAATCAGAATTTTTTTTATTTTGACTTATTATGATAACTTATTTTATATGCAAATATAGTTCAGACCTTTTTTTTTATCACTGATTTCAAGGAAAAAAGAATCTATATACTCACAATTATAGTTTCATGGAGTAAAGAAAAGAAAACAAGTGAAAAAGAATAAGTAAGTAGATTATATATATATATATTTATTTAATAAAAAAAAATACATATATCTATATGTCTATTTCACAATTCTATTTTATGAAAAAAAGAATTTATATATTTACAATTATAGTATTATTAAAGTAAAAGAGAGAAGAAAAGTAAAGAAAAAAGTAAATTGATTTTTTAATAAAAGATAAAAAATTTATATCTTTACAATTGTTCATATTATATATGTTTCTAAAATTGATTTTGGATTCTTGATATATTTTGTTCTCTTGAACTTTATATAAAATTTAATTTATATATAGAAGTAAAAAAAAAGAATCTAGTTAAGTGTACTTTTAATTAAAAAATAGAAATTAAATTTTAAAAAATTTTATCTTCTATATAAAATAATTTTATCTTTTATAAAGAACTATTTTAACTTTTGGACTTCAAAATATTTTGACTCATTATAATAATCTATTTTACATACAGGTATAGTTCCTATGTTTGTTTTGTAATTTCACCAATTTTGTAAAAAGAAAAATCTATATATTACAATAAAAGTAAAGGAGAAAAAACACAGGTATGGAATTGGTTTACTTATATAATATTTAATTAAAAAAATAAAATAAAATAAAAACTTATGTTTATATATCTATTTTGTGATTTTATTAATTTCGCAAGAAAAAAAAGCTATATACTTATAATTACAGCTTTACATAAGTAAAGAAAAGAAAAGATAAGTAATTATTATATATATATATTTTAATTAAAAAATAAATAAAAAAAATACTTACATTCATATAACTACCTATATGTCTATTTTATAATTTTATTAATTTCATAAAAGAAGAATCTATACAGTGACTCACAAAAGAAATGTATCACTTTGAAAAATCTTTTTGTCAATTGATTTTTCATTAATTTTATCATAAATTTAAAAAAATTTTATATTTTTAAATTTATTTAGTATTATCTATAGGTGTTGGTGTAACTAAATTCTTGAGTTATACCAAATCTCACCACTCACCAATTATCAATTCTCATTGGAGAAACTGGTAATTTGGTAAAACTGATGATATCAATAAAACTAGTGATATTGATAATACTGGTGATACTGGTGATACTATACGTGTTGCCCAAATCCCAAATTACTAGTATTTGGGATTTGGGATTTGGGATTTCGACAAAAAATACTAATCATAATTTGGGATTTGAGATTTGGGATTTTGGCATTTGGATTTTGAATTTGGGTGGCAGGTATAGGTGATACTGGTAATCTGGTGAAACTGGTGATATTGGTGAAACTTGATAAAATTGGTAAATTAATTTTTACCATTGCTTCAAATCACAAATAATCAAAAAATTTTTTAATTATTTTTTTGAATCACTAAAGTACACATGTTAAAGTTTTCAGTAATTTACTTTCCCTTCACTTTTTTTTCTCTTTTCTTAACTTTTTCCTTTGTTTCTTATTTCTGTTTCTTTGCTTTCTTTTTGATCTTTTCTTTTCACTCTCATTTTTTTTTTCAGAATGGTGATTTTTATAATTTGGCATTGGTAATATAGTAATAAATAATTTTGACAATTTATTTTCTTTCAAATCTTTCTCTTGTTTCTTATTATTTATTTGTAAGACTAGGAAAAGAAGAAGGAACTTGAAATATAGAAGAAAGAATTAATTAGCAAGAAGAAAATAAAAATTAATAAAATCAGCATATAAAAAAATGGATGATATTTGATGATATTTATTATTTATTTGTAAAACTAGAGGAAGAAGAAGGAAGTTGAAATATAGAAGAAAGAATTGAAATTAGCAAGAAGAAAAAAAAAATTGATAAAAATACAAAAATCCAAAATGAGATTCACAAAAGAAAATTCATTAAGGTTTCAAACAGAAATATCTGACAACAGTTCAAGTTTTGTTAATTTACAGAAATTAGTATGGAGATTGTTGTCTATTTTGTTTTTACTATATTAGTAACTACTTAAAATATTATTATTTTATAATTAAAATATATTTAAAATATACATAAAAAATATCTAATTTAGATATTACTAAGTATTTTTTAGGTATATACTTAAAATATACTTAATTTTAAATATGTTTTAATAATATGTTAAATATGTTTTCAGTATATACCTAAAATATACTTACTCATTATCTAAATTAAGTATTTTTTAAGTATATTTTAAATATATTTTAATTATAAAATAATAATATTTTAAATAGTTTTTTATATACTTAAAAAATATTTAATAAAATATATTTTGAATATATTTTAAATATATTTTAAGTATATTTTAAATATCATAGTTTTTATAAAGAATTTAGTGAAAATTTTTAAATTATTATATGTAAACTCAACTGTAAGTAATAATTTATTCTAATTGTTTTGTTAATAGTTGATATATGTTCTTAATATTTTCTCCAAGGTTCAATTCATTTGTTCAGATTGCTTATTAGTAAAGTTCTCCACAAGCCTTAAGGGCTCATGAGCCTATCAAGCCCGGTCAAGTCAAGCCTAGAATTATAGACTTATGACTCGCGAATCTAGGGCTCACAAGCTTAAGCCTAACTAAGGCTTGGTTTGACTGAGCTTGACAAGGCTTGTTGAGTTCTCAAGCTTAATGTATAAACTCATGAGCCTATTTATAAGACTTATGAACCTATATATGGCTCGTGAGCTTGTTATAGTACTTATGAGCCTTTATATGGTTCACGAACTTATGCAATAACTCGTGAGCCTAATATAACATCAGGAAATTTTTTTGATGTAATATTCCATAATTTAATGCTTATAAAAATATTTACTCTAAAAAAATTTCATAGATCTTTAATTATATAAAAATCTGATCATCTTTAATTATATAAAAATCTGAATATCTTTTTTTTTTTTAAAAAAAAAAAAAAATTATCTTCTTTGAAGTATTTCGAAGTATGTGGACATATTTAAAAGTAAGTAAATTTTTTTTTAAAACAAATAAATAAAACTAACAATATACTTACCCTTACTTCTTTTTTTTTTGAAATCATCTCACAGATTCGAGATTTAAGATGGGTAAAAAATGTAATTATTTGATTTTTTTTTTTTAAAAAAAAATTAATATATTAAAAAATTTACTTACCTTGTTTTTTTTCTTAATAATACACCTACCTTTCTTCTTCTAGTTTGTGAGAATACCATGAGATCAAAATAGGTTTCGCAAACATGAGAATGTTTAGTGAGTTTTTTCTTTTTTATTTTTTTATTTTTTTTTTAAATAATTATTAAAAAACCTATACTTATCTTACCCCTTACCTTAATAATATACTTCCCTTTCTTTTTTTCTAGTTTGTGAAATAGCGTGAGGTCGAAATGGACTTTGCGAGCTTGGAAGATGTTGGAGAGTTTTTTCTATTTATTATTATTTTTTTAAAAAAATAATTAAAGAAACCTATACATACCTTATCTCTTGCTTTAATAATATACTTACTTTTCTTCTTTTCTGGTTCGTGGGGATAGCGTGAGGTCGAAATAAGTTTTGAAATAGGCTTCGCGAATTCGGAGGACGTTTGATGAGTTTTTTCTATTTTTTTTTATTTTTTTTTTAAATAATAAAAAAAACTATACTTACCTTATTCCTTGATTTATTAATACACTTACCTTTTTTCACCTTGACTTTGCTGGTTCGTGGGATACCTTTGAAAGCTGGAATTGGCTTCATGAGCTCAAGGAACGTTTAGTAAGCTTTTTTATATTATTTTTTATTTTTTTTTTATATAATTAAAAAAAATCTATACTTACCTTATCTCTTGCTTTAATAATATACTTATCTTTCTTCTTTTCTGATTCGTGGGAATAGCGCAAGGTCGAAATAAGCTTCGAAATAGGTTTCGCGAATTCAGAAGATGTTTGATAAGTTTTTTCTATTTTTTTTTTTTGTTTTTTTTTTTAAAAATAATTAAAAAAAACCTATACTTACCTTATTCCTTGCTTTATTAATACACTTAACTTTTTTCACCTTGACTTTACTAGTTTGTAAGATACTTTTGAAGGCCAGAATTGACTTCGCGGACTCAAGAGATGTTTGGTATATTATTTTTTATTTATTTTTTTTATATAATTAAAAAAACCTATATTTACTTTATCCCTTGCTTTAATAATACACTTATCTTTCTCCTTCTCTCCTTGGGAATTGGGTGAAATTTGATTCATAGAACTGAGAGAATATATTTTATTTATTTAACTCTATAATATAGTTTAAGTTTTATTTCTAGTCTTTAAATTCTAAAGTATTAAATAAATATATATAATAAAGTAAAATAAAGTAAGCACGTTTATACTGTATATATACTAGTAAAATAAACTTGTATTTTTTTATAATTAAATCATCCATAAATCATCTGAAATATCAACTTAATAATAATATTTATTAAATTATCTAAAATAATATTTTAAATAATTTAATATATTAAATTATTCAATTTTAAGTAATATAAATGATTTTTATAATTTTTAGGTGATTTAATATTATTTTAAATCACGAACAATTTGATGCAACTTATATTAGATTAGATTCTCTAAATTTTTCTTGTTACTAGCTATTATTGTCATTTTTATTTCCTCTTACAATTATTTTTGTCACAATAGAACTTAAAAAATATAGGTAAAATGTCAAATACTGAAGACCATTTTAAAGAACATTTTGAAGAATATTTTGAAAATCATGATACTGATAATGAAGTTCTTTCTATTCAAAATACAATTATATCTCTTCCAAAAAAAAAACTTCTAAAATTTATCAATATTTTACTTATGGAACTGACGAAAGGTGACATTGCAAATATTGTATGTAAGTATTATTTATTTTTTATTTATATTATTTTATTTTTATATTTATTATTTTGCATTTAACATTTTTTTATTTATTATAGTGTTAGTATATCTGACAAATCTATATTAACTTTAAATCATCATATGTCCTGATTTCATGTAAAAATTCTTGGAAGTGTAGAAGCTGAACCAATAAATAATATTTTACTAGTATAATAAAAGAAACTATATATATATTTATTTTTTTTATATTAAAAAAATATAATTATTAAAATACTATTTTTTTGTAGTTTACTCAAAAAGGCTTTCGAAAAAAGTTACTTGAATAGATTGTGATTAGTGATTAACCATTTACTGTAGTTGAGGAAAAGGAATTCAAACAGATAATAAAGTAATTACATAATGATATTATACATGTCACCCAAATTTCAAAATAATTTGAAATTTGGGTAGTAGAATAGGCTCAAATTATTTGGACTTCAAAGGTCAAAAAAGCCCAAAGCCCAAATTATTTTTAGCAGTTCAAATTATTTTTGGCAACTCAAATTATTTTTAATAGCTCAAATTATTATTGACAGTTCAAATTATTTTTAGCAGTGAAAAAAATATTTGAAACTAATTACTTATTTAAAATTTGTGATACAATAGATTTGATAATCATTTTTTATATTAAATTTTTTTTTTTTAATCTTTGCTTTTTTTTTTAAAAAAAAAAAATAAAACTAAACTCATATATCCTTTGCCTTAATTAAAGCTCCTCATAGGCCGAGCCTCATAAAGCTCAGGCCGAGCTGAGCCCAAAAGTCTTAGGCTCGGCTCAAACCTGAGTTTATAAGTTAGGCTCGAGTCGAGCCGAGCCTTACTTATATAGGCTCAGCTTGGCTCGAGCCTCATAGTAGGCTCATAAACTTAACAATTCACAGACTTTTTTTAATAATGCGAATTTCTTTATT